CTATTAATGTCACCTACAATTCCAAGTGGACACGGAATGTTCTCACAACTGGAGAACAAAAAAAATGTGGTCACACAATAATAATAGAAGAGAAAAATGGCTGGGTACTTGAAAAGAAATACCAAAAGCCTAATTTATCATTCTCTAGTAATCTAAAAGTTGTAATAGCTGCTCCTAAGGACATCAGTGCTTTCTATCTTACCTCTTCACTTACCACAGAAGAATTCCATTAAGAATTACACCATAAGTTATTACAGGAGACAAACCCAGGGAAAAAAGCCAAAGAAACCAATTTGCTCCTTATACCTATTCCACATCTGTCAGTTCTGTTAATATTCTTACCAACATGCTCAGGCCATCTTTCTTTCAAGAGTGACAGCTTTTAACTTTTCATTCCTTTGTTCACTGTTACACTAAATTATTTAACATTTTTACCTTCTTTCCCAAGACCCAAACTAAAAACAGAAAAAGACATTACCATCTGAAAGACGTCCGAGCCTTCGTCAAAATCTACCATAGCAAAAAAAATCTTGTTGGTAAATGCACTGGAATACCTCCAGGAGTTTGCCAAGATCTGGTATTCCTCATCAGCTTGCCTGGAAAGCACAGCAAGTGAGAGAGGCTGTGTCATGGGTTTGTGGTGCAAGTTGTAAAGCAGCCCACCCCATCCATGGGTGCCTCCCACACCCACCCCATTAACATTCTAGGGTTCAAAAGAAAGTTTAAGTGTTAATGAAATCATTTAAGGACAGACACTCATCTACCATCAGGGGAAGCATTTGGCACCTGCTTTTTTAAATGGAAGGGCAAGATTTGTTGAGTCTACAAACACAAGCTGAGGCAATTTCTAACTGAAAGGTGAACTGGAACTCAGCTGTTCATGACTTGCCAGTCCACAGAGCACCCAAATGTGGCCAGCTGTGCCCTTTCTTCCAAGTCAGAGGGTGGGAAACCAATAATTTCAAGGTATAAAAATCACCCTTACAGACCTCTGCCACCTCCAGATTAATACAGAAAAGCTATAACATGGTTAAGGATCCAGGATACTGGAATTGTAAATAACTGCCAAGCAATATATTAATTAAGAACAACATTTAAGCTCCGTGGCCAGCAATAATTCTACAAATATTTCTTCAGCAGTTTATGCCTGAAAAGTTGAGCTTTCACTGTGTCTTTCTCCAGAGTAAATACTGTTTCTGCAAAGCAGGGATTATATTAGGAGGGAGATAAATCAGAGGATTATGTTTCCTCACAAACATATTACACACATATTCCCACACTCTAAATTGCAAAGCCAATCCTACTGTAACTTGCCCATGTTTATTCCTCCCACCTGTGTCAAGGTGCAACCCTGTCCTTAAATTTAGAGTCCTACAAAGCATCAGGTGACTTTCAAGTTCTAATTTAGGACTAAAGGAGCTCATACTTGCACACAACACACTGCCTGTGAGGCTGAAGGGCAGTGAACATCACAATCACTGAGTAGTTCCTGGGAGGGGCCTTCACGAGGCGCCGGAATTTGTCCCCGTTCATTCTGATCACGGATCTCTTGCTGGCCCACTCCATCAGCTGGTTCACTTTTTCTGACAACACCATCTGAAAATCAAGTCAGAGCAATTGTTGGGTTGGTTTTTTATTTTCCAATTCTCACAGTACGGTCTTAGAAGGTTTTAGATTCGATGCAACAAATATCTGCACTGCTTTTCATAACCCCACGCAGGTGCTGTGATACCTCAGTAAGATTCTGCAAGGCTGGAGAAGCTTTTGACAGTCATGTTCACATAATTCACTAACTTCAACCACCCAGTAACACACAGAGCTTTAAGCACTCAGCATGACCAGGCTGGTGAAGACCCTGAGCTCAGCAGCCCCTCCTCACAGTAGCTGTAGGATTTCTTCACCTCCATCCCCTCCACAGCCTTTCTGCTATACTAAGCATCAAACTGTTTCAGTTTTTAAAAATTGTTCCACCAGAGATGGAAGCAATCTCAACCTCTCATTTTCAGCACTGGTGGAAAAAAAGAACCATAATTCAGAATATATTTGAAAAATTCAGGAGTGCTCGACACTAAAATATTCCTTAAAAAGGAAACAATCAATACTATAACATCATAAGAAGAGGCATTAGTTTGACAAACTCACAAATGTTACATTTATCACAAAGCACTTCTCTACTCATTAACACTGTTCTTCAGATAAATATGTTAGAGGAAATCATCATAATATATATCCTGAATTGGAAGGGAGCCAGTAGGAGCATCAAAGTCCAACTCCTGACCGCGCACAGGACAGCCCCAAGAATTTCGCCACGACAATAATAATAATAAATTATTATTCTCTGACTTACAACTGACACAAGTATACACATTTATATAGAAGGATTTTTCTAAACCCTGCAGGTCAAGTGCATGGAATTAAGTTGCACCTTAGCGACTGTAACCAAAGACCACTCATTCTCTCCCCCGCAAATCCCATACACTAGGAAGACAATACTGGTACAGTGCTCCTAAAAAGAATGAAGAATCTGGAATCGAGGACCTTCCCTCCCTGCGAGATCCCTTCAGAGCCGGCCGAACCTCAGGGCGGGGACCCGGGGTGAGGTGAGGCCCGGCCACCCCGCCGGGCCCTGGCCGGTCCTGCCCTCATCCCGCTCAGCGACAACCCGTCCCGGAGCAGCGCGGGGGCTCCGGGCGAGTCTCACCTCCTTCCGCCTCTGCCCCGCGGCGCCGGGCCCGCCACATCCCGCCAGCAACAGCAGCACCAGCGCCAGCAGCGGCACCGGCAGCGCCGCCATGGCCACCCCGCTTCGCCCGCCCCGCCCCGCCGGCTGCGAGGCCCCGCCCACCAGACGCCGATTGGTGGAGGCGCCGGCTCCAGAGTCCCTGCTGGCCTCCGATTGGCTGAGCCTGTGGGAGCGCGGCGAGCTGGAGCCATGCCATTGGTGGAGCCCCGAGGGGTGGGTGGGGCGAGCCCTGAGGGAGGGGCGGAGCGGGCCCTGACGGGGGAAAGTGTGGCGGGAGCCCAGGTGGCGATGGCAGCTGTGGGGGTCCCTCAGCCGCATCAGAGAGCCCTATGGCTCGAAGGCACCTCTGCAGCTCACCCGAGACAAGGGCTCCTGGCAGGTGACACAGTGTTGCCCGCTAAGATTCCGAATTCGCTACCCGGTATGCAACAAGCCAATAATTACACAGAGAGAGAGATTGATTTATATCAGAGTTGTGCTCTCCTTGAGTGCTCAGTGGTGTTCCACAAATCAAGCACGCCAACTCTCAAAACTTTTTGCTGTTATAGGTTTTAACAAACGGAGGAATTTATGTTCACTGGGTACAAGTAATGTAGTTCTCTTATTAATTAGTATTCTATCTTCTGTTGGTCAATGCTTTTCTTTGCTTCCCATACTCACTAGTGTGACTTTTTCTTCTTTTGGTCGGTGGGTTGGTGGTCGTGATCTGCCTCTGCTGGAATTCCCTTTCACCAGTTAGAATTGATTTCAGCCCAGTTGCTGAGTTGGTTTTGTTAGTGTCTTCCTTATCGTGGGAGTGCTGCAAAATGTCCTTGCGGGCCATAAATTCTGCATTCTTTGTGTCTGCAATCAGTGGCACCTTCTCCTTCCCGAGCTTTGTTAAACTCCCCCTAAGCCTGAGATAATTGAAACATGTCAAGCCCTAAACCTTAACAAGGTAATTCTACCAAAAAGAATTTTTTTTCCCAACATCTGGGCATCACTTAGAGCTTGATACGTGCTATTTCATGGATTAAATCTCCTTCGTTGTTGATTAGGCTAGAAAGTGCACAAAGATCAAACATCAAAGAACATCCTTTCTTAAAAAAAATTTACATACTCCACATTTTGAAACAACACAAATGCTTGCAGATGGGTTTTGAGTGTCTCCAAAGAGGGGGATTCCACACCTTGCCTAGGCAGCTGTTCCAGTGCTCTGCCATCCTCAGTGTAATGAAGTTCTCCCTCTTGCCTCAGATACATGCTTCATGTTATACACACACCCACTACAAATTGCTGGGTTCTGTGTTACAAATATTGTTAAAATCCAAATGCACAGGGAAATGCCTCAGTGGGTGTGTGCTGGGTTAAAACTCTGATGCAGAATCCCCAGGGAGGGATGAGGATTTACTCACTGTTATAAATGAGAAGCTTGACTAGGCCAATATTGAAGCAGCAATCAATTCATTAATTAATCTGGTAAAGTATGAGCAATACAGCGCTGGGTACAGTGGGGGAAGTTTTCCCTCCAACTGCACACCCATAGTTGAGGCTTACAGGTATTTATAGGGGTACTCATCAGCTTTCTCAGCAGTTTCTATTCCCAATTTTTACTCAACAGCAGTTTCTATTCCCAATTTTTACATCACAATTCTATACACTATTGTGATTTAGTTTTTCTCAGGATGTATCAGAAAAGGAGCATCCCCAGATGGTGGGGGTCCGGTTTCTGAAAGAAGGAAGAAGTCTCCCATCTGGTGAGGTCCAGATTCCAGATGTGGGTCCACCTTTTGATTGCAAGGACTTTAAATCTCACAACAGTGATGTCCAGCTTCCCTTCGTCGAAACTATTAACCCTTGAGCTGATGTTCATCTTCCTTTCTCAAGCTGCTTTTCACTGTTTTGTTGAGGCATGAGATAAGCATGTTTCCTTTATATATATTCTAAAGCTATAGTTTCAAAGATCCTTACTACAAGCAATATTTTAAAATTATACTTCAAAAGGTTATTATTGCAAAACTCTTTAAGGCTTAACTACAAGCAGAAAGTTCCTGTCAAAAAGCAACATCCTTAAAGCTTTAATTCAAATGCTCCTAAATCAACTTAAGACTTATAAAGGTTAATTGCGAACAAAGGATAGGTTCAAAGGCCTTGTTCTATGCTTTACTTCCTCAGGTATTTATTAGAATTCGTCTTTATAACTGTCCTATGGTCGGTTTCCACACATCACAATCACAAATACACAAGCTGCCTGTATGTACTGAACACGAAACACAGCTTTGTATTTCACATCACGCTTCGGGTTTTATTTTTAAATTATTTCTGATTTCTGTTTGCACGGAAATCCCAGATTTTTTTCAACTTGGCGCTTTCGCAAATTTAAATTAACCCGCACAGCGAGGGGGGAAAAAAAGTGGTGTCAGAAGTGGGATTCGAACCCACGCCTCCATACGGAGACCAGAACACCCAAACCCGCCGCGGGAAGGCGCGGAACGCCTTGAGTCTGGCGCCTTAGACCACTCGGCCATCCTGACACTGCGAATGCAGCCCTTTCTGGGACAGAGTTAACACTGTCATCACTGCCGCTACTCGTTTCTCTGCGTCTCCTGCCTCATCACAGAGACCCCGTCTGTACCCAGGAGGTGCCGGAGAGCAGCCAGGGAACGGCCAGCTCAGCTCGGCTCGGCCCAGCCCGGCCGCGGAGCTCCACCGCAGTGAGGAGGAGCCCGGCGTTACCCACAGGCCCCCGCCGCGCCGCCACTTCCGCCGCGACCATTTTGTTCTTCACCGGCGTCAAGGGTACGCGCTCGGCTCTCATCATGTTCCCGGTGGCCAGGGCCGCGCAGAGCCTCGTCGGTAAGCGCAGGGGCGGCTCTCGGGGTGTGGGGGGTTCCTCAGGAGTCTCCCCGGTTTGTGTCCTCCCCTGTGCGGGCTGTCCCTCAGCCCCCACTCGCTGTGCACCGGGGACGGTCGTGAGGGCACCTCAGGGACTGCGGACAGCTCTGGCGTCCTTCGCCTCCCGCTTTTTTTATTACTTTCAGCCTTTTTTAATCTCCTAGTTGCTTTTTGGTTTAGGACTGCTTTCCTTGGTGCTTTCTCTCCCTAGTACTAAAAGCACATTCTGGCCTGGTAGCATGCGGTGACAAGGGGCAGTCAATACCTAGCCCTTAACCTCAAGGTTAGAGTTGGCCCTTCAGTGATACAGACCCAGCAGGGTCTGTTCAGTTCGTCCTTGGTGCTTTCTTTCCCTAGTACTAAAGGCACATTCCTTGGTGCTTTCTTTCCCTGGTACTAAAGGCACATTCTGGCCTAGTGCTTTCTTTCCCTGATACTAAAGGCACATTCTGGCCTAGTGCTTTCTTTCCCTGGTACTAAAGGCACATTCCTTGGTGCTTTCTTTCCCTGGTACTAAAGGCACATTCTGGCCTAGTGCTTTCTTTCCCTAGTACTAAAGGCACATTCTGGCCTAGTGCTTTCTTTCCCTGGTACTAAAGGCACATTCCTTGGTGCTTTCTTTCCCTAGTACTAAAGGAACATTCCTTGGTGCTTTCTTTCCCTAGTACTAAAGGCGTATTCTGGCCTAGTAGCGTGCAGTGACGAGGGGCAGTCAATACCCAGCCCTTAACCTCAAGGTTAGAGTTGGCCCCTCAGTGATACGGACCCAGCAGGGTCTGTTCTCTGCTCCTGCGGCACCATGGGCTCATCCCGAGGTGCGGGCAACTAAAATAAATGTATCTCCTAGATACTCAGGCTTTTTTATGTTAAAAAAAAGAGGGATGTAGTAACTTGGGTACCACCATCAACTTCTCTAATCACAATTGGATAAAAATGCAAACCGTTGATCTGAGACTGAAAGGTTTAATTTTGTAATATCTTTATGCACACATCACCTTCTCATCAAATGCTTTGTACACAACTAATGGGCAATCTGTCTTTTGTAGCTGTTGTTCTGATTTTTCACTGTTGCCTTCTCTTTAATAAGTGTACCTTTTATAGTGTACACTTATAACGTACATCGTTTGAAGATATCACTTTGTATATTTTTCTCTATTATTTATCTCATGCCCATGGGTTATTTCAGTTTCCTTCCTCCCCTCCCTTCAAAAAAAAAAAAATCCCGAGGGAATGAGGCAGGAATTTCCCCATAATTTGATGGTGAGCTTCATCCTGACATTGCTTGGGTACATGTACTGCCAGGATAGATATTTGCATGTAGAAATCTAAAAATGCTAAGCACTAAACAAAATATTTGATTAGAGAAACAGTAATACTAAATAAAACATATTAAAGAAAAAGTTACCTTAGGGCATTTTTTTTACTGGAATTAGACTTAAGGAATAACTTTCTAGAGAGAAATTGAGAGAGCTGAAAAAAATGAAGTATTTATGTATATCCTGTGTTTTGGAGTAATTCCACAGTTCTAAATCCAAACGAATATTTTTCCAGCATTTTTAGTCTTTCAACACTAACACTTGTCTCTCTGTTGGTGGGAGATGAGGACTGGGAATGGTTTGAGGATGTATTTGAGTTGATTTCTGTACTTGTTGACATGCTCAGCTCGTGGCATCCAGCACACTGCAGTCAGAGGAGCTCATCGCAAGCACGAGCCCACCTTCCACGATAAATATGGAACCATGGTGCTCCTCGGGGGAGCCTCCATGTTCACTGCTGTCTGGAGCTATGTAAGTTGGTTTTGTCACCACTCCCTTGTGACTTGAGCTGCAGACTTAAAAAGTGTCAGTTCTGCCTGTTGGAAATAAATTCAGTGGTCAGAATTGAGGAGCTTCTTGCATAAGCAAATAGTGATGTGATAGAGGGGAAAGTTATTTTAATTGCCAGCTTGATTTGGAGTTGTTACTCAAATTTCTGCATCAGTCTGTTGCCTGATTTGAAAATGTATCAGAAACACAAGTGTTCTCAATTTTACTTGGGATTTCAAACCTCTACAGGTACAGCAGCAAAACTTCTAGATGAAAATACCAACATGGTGGTGGGGTGTTACATTCCAGATTCTTTCTTCTGCAGTTGGATATTTTGAAAGAGAAAACTGAAACATTGAAATACTATTCAATATAAATATATTCTATTTTTTAAATTAGAAAATTAATGAGATGTCATGTTCTAATAACAAGAAATCTGAGCTGAAAACAATAAAAATAACCCTATGTCCAAAGGTTTCTTTGATTTCAGAGTTAATAATCTTGGGTTTTGTCCCTTTACAGGTGTTCACAACGCTGAATGTTGAGTGGGGCATTTCACCTGTTGGCAGAGTCACCCCAAGTGAATGGAGAGGGTAACAGCCTCTGCTTCTAATGAACTGGTCTAGAGTTTCACTGAGAAAATGGTCATGTAGTGGCATTTGTTCCCTGATTACCACTTGGACAGTGGCATTCCTGGTCTAATAAACGTACCTAGAAACCTGTCTGGCTCTTCCAGGTTTTCTCTGTGCTCTGTTTCTGCTGAAGTGTAAGAAATAGTGTAAAAAGGAATTTTACATAGTCCCAGTTGTTGCTGTAGAGATCGCTGGTGGATAAAGGACAAGTCCAGAACTTTGAGTTTTCATTTAGCCAGGTGTGTGTGTGTGAACCAACCTCACTGCATTCCCACTGCAGAGCACACATCCCTTTACATCTGACTTGTAAAAACAAAGTCGAGATCCCTTTTTGTCCACAAAAGGATTTTAATGGCTTGTATCCCTCTGCCAGTAGGCTGCTCCTCCTGAGACCCCTGAGAGTTGTGAAGAAATTCAAGTCAGTTTTGAGGTTGGAGAGGCTCCACAGGAGCAGGCACTATCCCAGGATCAATGGGACTTTCCTAATGAATCCTTAGGGAATCCCAGAATGATTTGGGGTGGAAGGGACCCAGATTTGGGGTGTTTCCAGCCCTGTGTCTGCATTTACCTTCTGTTTACAGTAGAAGTAAGCAGAGAAATGAGGTGGGAGAAGAACAGTTACCGGGGCATGCTGGTGTTTGATATCAACGATCGCAGGCTGGTTTGGCTTGGGAGGGACCTGAAGCGCACCCAGTTACGGTGGCTGCGCGACGGGCGGGCTCCTGTCGCGATATGGTGACAGCGGTGACAGCGATCGCGACCGCGGCCCCGCCTTTTCCCGCCAGCGTCACGTGTCCGCCCGCGTCACGTGGCGGTGGGCGGAGTCGAGCGGGCGGTCACGTGGCAGTGGGCGGGCCCGAGCAGGGCGGTCACGTGGCGCGGCGGGGGAAGAGCGCGGCGGTGCCGGGCCGGGAGCGGCGCTTGGAGCCCGCGGTCTCGGTGAGTGCGGGCCCCGCTCGGGGCTCCCCTCCCTCCGGCAGCGCGGACCCGCGCCCGGGACCCCGCCTTGCTTGTTTCCCTCCGTCGGTGCGGACGCAACGTGGGCCCCTCCTTGGTTGTTTCCCTCCGACAGCGCGGACCCGCCTCGGGGCTGTCCCCGGCAGTGCGGACCTTCGGGGGGTTCCCGCTTCCCTCAGTGGCGCAGACCCGTGCGGACGCGCCTTGAGGGCTCCCGCTTTCCCCCGGCTCCGGGGCTGCCCCCGGGCCGTTGTCACCGTGTCCCCGGCGGGGAGGGGGTGCGGGTGGCTGTGGCGGTGCCGGGCTGCGTGCCCCGGACGGGACGGTCCGGGCTCGGGCCCCAAAACCCGCATGGTGTGTGAGGGTGCCCTCAACCCGGGGTGCCCCGGGACTTCACCCCTAGAGCGCCTCGGCGGCATCTCCGTGTCCAGGCAGCCCCGGGGCTGGCACGGCGGCTCCCGCTCAGCCGCTGCCCCGGGGAGCAGCGGGGCCGAGCCCGGCTTCGCTCCCGGGGCTGCAGCGGGACCCGCGGGCTGTGCTCGGCCGGGAGCAGCCACGGTTCGGGCCCTGGTCCGCAAGAGGTTTGCGCTCCCTTGGAAAAGTCCCTCCTGTGCTCCTGTCACTGGCCAGAGAAAGTCTCGGAGCTCATGAGTCACTGAGCTGCTGTTCCAATCCTGAGCTGCTCAGCTTGGCCCTCTGAAACTCCTTACTTAGTGTTTATTCTCATGTCACCTTATGCCACCTTATGATGGCAGCGCTCTGTGCACAAGCACCTTTTCCTAATGAAAAGCATAGTGTGGGCATTCTAGAAAAGGGTAAGTAGTTGTCGATGATGCTTTGGGGTGAAATCTTGAAAAAATGAGCAAGAACAACACAACTGTTGCCTCCTTGTGTTCATGTTCTGCAAATTGTATGTAAGTAGTGTAAAATTAAGATCTTAAGGTCTTTTGTGCAGTCAGCAGAGGTTGAGTTTCTGTACTTAAACACTTGTTGAATTGTGTGGATGTAAATAGGCAAAGATTTGGTAGTGTGGGATTTGGTGTGTATGAGAATGCCCTGTGTGAGCACAAACACAGTTGGACTAGAATTTAATAATTATAATGTATTTTCTTAGTAGAGAGAATTCATGAAGCTTTTTTTCCTTGCCAGGTGGCAAAGCAGGGAAGCAAAAGCTAACATTATATGTAGTTTGCTGTCTTACTCTTCTCATTTTTATTATATAATACATTTCATATTGTTCTGCTGAGTACTTTGAGACTAAGCTCAAGGCTGAGGAAGCCCCCATTGACCTTGCTATGCTTACATAACAAGGGGTTGTAAATTATATTCTACTCATAATATTTCCTACGATTCTTCCAAGGAAACATTCACGTTCTCCAAAAATCTGACTTCAGGAGGTTGTGGAAAGCCAAGAACGAGTTAAAGGATTTGCTAAGAATCTGTCTCAAATACTGTAAAACTCATTAGAAATGAAGCAGAATGTTTGCAATGTGTGCTTTTTTCTTCCCCATGCAGTTGGTATTGAAATGAATTCCCTGAGAGCAATTTCCATGCTCCGCTGACCAAGCAAGGCTTGTTAAAGTCTTGAGCAATGTGAATTACAGCCTATTGCAAGTGTCACGTAGCTGTGCCATTTATTGCAGATGCACAGTTTCTCTCTCAGTGATTAAGCCTCACCTACCCATGGGCCTATCATCCATATCTCCTACCCAGTCACCCTTTCCAGTGGCTCTGTTTGCCCATGAACCCTATAAACCTCCTTCTTCCCTGTTGGACCCATCTCCTGGAGCACTTTCCAAGCCCAAGGGTGAGATGATGCAGTTTTTTCCCTCTCCTGCCCTTTGCTCTTTTCCTTAGGTCTGTGCAGACACTGGGGCACAAGCACCTTTTCTCCGTTTAATGTAAAAAGCAATTTACCTTTCTGCTGCCATAAATAGAGAAGCTAAGTAGCACTTGGCCGTTTAGAAATTTAATAAAATCCAAAGGCTGTAATTAAACCTGTGAAATTCTGTTGCTGGCATTTGTGTGGTATTTGCCAAGCTGTGACCTCTTTTGACTCCAGCAGCTGTAAATTCAAGGTGATTATAAACTGGTGAACACTGGAGCTGTGCAGGTAACCAGAAGGCTCTGTCTTCCCTGGCTGTACCCCTGCTAATCCCAGAACTGGCACAAAGTGTGTCTGTGGGCCACACAGCTCTGCTGCTCTGTCATGCCTGCCTCTGCTCAGATATTAGAAGCTCCAAAGTGCCTTTTTAGGGTTAAATGGGATTCTTGAGTTTTTACTGGTCTTGTAACTTCCTCTTTGCGTTGCTCATTTTCTAAATTTTTTTTTATAGCGTGGGTTTATGAATTACTTAACATTGACCTCATCAAGCCTCATTTCTTCAGATATTTTAGTTACAGTGACTGGTGTTACATCAAAAAACTATTTAGAGAGATGAATGAGTGTCTCAGTCACTTTGTGCTTGATCACTATTGAATTTTCCTTTCCATAGGGAGAAATTTCTGTTGGAAATAGAAATCACCTCTTTCTGTTGCTTCATTTACTTCATAGAAGCACTAACTGACTTCCTTCAAGAAAATGGAACTAAACACAGAGCTGCTAGCTCATAAAAGGAACTGCCATTTCTTTGTATTGTCAAATCCTGAAATTCTTTACTAATTGATGGTAAAGGTGTTTTATAGATGGAGCAATTGGTTAAGAATAAAAGCATTATTTTTTCTCTAAATCCTTTTTAATCCATAACTTAGCATCTCAGGTCTTTTCAGGACCTCAGCTTCAAGTCTTTTCTCTGTAAGAAAATAAGTTATAATTGAAAGGATGTGTCCATGCTAACTTGCACAAGCCATTGATGTGGAATATATGGATTGCTGCAGATAATTTGACTTCTATTTTCTTGGGAAAATGTTAAACCAAATGAGGAGAACTGGGATTAAATTGTGAATATTTGTCTACCTTTTGTGTGCATCTAGTCCTAATTCATTGGTGTAACAGGTATTTTCAGTCTGCTTAGTCATGGACTTCAGGAGGAAATATAACAAATATTTCATTCAAGTTTCAGCCAAATTCTTTGAACCTTGAAGCACTTGTAAGGGAGGCAGAGCATCAGAAATGAAATGAATATGACAAGGTAGAATAGAATGCAGCCTGAGATGAAATTTAGATTTAACTGGTTCTCCTGGGAATTTTGCAAGAGGAGGAAAAAAGGATTTGTCTATTTAGAGTCACTGTGTATAACCCTGCATTTCATTCTGAGAACAAGAACTCTTTGAAGCTTCAGGGGCACTGGAAACCCAGACAGTTTGGCTTTTGGAAATTTCAGCAAGGCCGTACAGAAACCAGCAATTGAGAAACAGCTCATTAAAAATTCAGTGTTAATAATAATAATGTGGCTGATTGGAGAGACCATTAGATTTGGACATGTCTCATCTTTTAGCGAACAACCTGGTTTTAAAATTAGTATAAAAACTGTTAGCAACCTGCAACAAGGCAAATAAAAATCCACATTGGTTGTCTTCCCCACCAGCAGGGAGCTGTGGGTGATGCTCGTGTCAGAGATTTCTGGGTCCTTCTTTATGGAAGATCAGAGAACAAAATGAAGAGTCAGTGTGGTCCAACATAAATTCTAGTGAGGGAAGTTCTGGTTTCAGTCTTAATGCTTCAGTACTTTCTTGAGGGGTAAAAAAAGGAAAAATGAATTTTAGGGTTTTTTTCTTATGCCTTTATGGTTTTTGTTTTAGTTTTGGCTCTTCCAGGAAAGGGTTTTCTTTGCTGTGTTTATGGATAAACACCAGAAGGGCAAGGAAACAGACTGAGAAAATGGAGGAAACGCTTTGTCCATACAAACTGTAATAATAATAGATGTGAAAAGAAGTTTCATGTTATTTTTACATATTTCAACAGTTGGGTTTTGAATGCGTTGGTGGGTGTTTGGTGGCAGAGCTGCTGGTTACTGTAATCAGTGTTTATTCAGTGTACTGTGAGTGTGGCTCTGTTTGTCTGACAGAGAACCTTTAACATTGTATCCTGGGGTTGGAAAAATGGATATTATTGTACTTGCAGCTTGGGTCTCTTAAAGCAAAGCCCAGGAGGGCAGGCAGGAGCTCTGCAGGTTTTCTCTGTCCCAGCTGTACCCAGCTCTCCTCCAAGGCAGCATCTTGCCAGCCTTTGGTTATTTTAGACATCAGCTCCCAGCCAAAGTGTGCCCTTCCTTTATTTTTGTTTTCAAAGTACAGTATCAGGGCAGTTCAAGTTGGTCATGTACCTGAAATGCTTTTAAATTCAATGAAATTTTTAATTTAATCTCCAAACCTTACTGGAGGGCAGATTGGTTCTGTCTGGGCTGTCTGATTTTAGTCCCACGTGCCTGGTTGTGCTCACAAAGTTCCCTGCACGTTCCAAGTGCTTTTTGCAACTTGCTTTGTGCTTCAGGCTGGTGGGAATGTGGGAATGTTGGTGTGTCCCTGCCTGTGGGGTTACAGAGCTGTCCTTGTTTGCTGGGTGTGCCCTGGGCATTCCTTGGGGACAGCTGGGGAACACAGAACATCACATTTCCATGGGGTGGCAGGACAGCAGCAGTTTCCTTAGGTAAATGAGTGGGTTTTCAGTATTTTGGACCTCTGAGTGTGCAGATCAGCCTGAGAAAGGAGCTGCTGTATGAAATTTGCTTAAAATATACTTTATTAAAAAAATTATCCTGTTGGTTGATAATTCTTGTGACAGTTCTGCATTTCTGTAACGTGTGGCTATTCACACACAAGTGTTGAGTGTTTCCAATAACTCAGCTCTTGTAAGAGCAGGGGCCAAGTGAGATCTGTAATAACTCCTCAGGTAGAGCTGTCTTATTTCTGTTCTT